CCTTTGAATCCTTTAAATTTTGTTTTCCCAACATCTGGGGTGTACATCAGACTATATCTGGCTTTCCTCTCCTTTTCTATCACAAATTCTAGGAGGTAGTATTTGCTTCCCCTCACGGTTCCCATCATTTATATTCTAGCAACCAGTTTCTCCCTGTTAGTTATAATCAGATATAGATTGAATTTATTTTTGTTTGGTTCCTATATCTTTTGAAGGGTGAAATTATCATTAAGGTAAATCAAGAAGTTAATAGCTGATCTGCTTTTGGCAAAGAGCTCTAGCAGATGTCTGTATAACTGAAGTCCTCCAACAATACTGTCATATCTTTATGCCAGACTTTTATTCTTTTTCCCAAACTGTTCATCTAGTTCTTCTTCCTTTCCAAGTGTTTGGTGGTATACTCCAATGACAATAATCACTGTTTCTTCCTCCACTGACCTTTACCTTTCTTTTTCTCTTTCCAGCAGGAGGGGGGATGTAGGAGGAAGAAAAAAATAAATGCTTGATAATTTAAAAAAAAAATTTAAGCAAAAAAATAAAAACAATTCTTAGATGTTCTAAAAATGCATTAATTAACCATATGGGATAGTTTTTAGGAATTTAATACAGGGAAAAATATGTTTAGAATAATCACTTGCCTTTCTTCTGACAAAAGAGAAATTTTTTCTTGATAAATGGCAAAACAAAGAATCACAAAGTAACTCCTATATCCTAAATTTTGATTTTTGCCCCACTTAGGAATTTCCCATCTTCTCCCCACATTTGTTTCAATGATAGTCATGTTCCTATTTAGCACTTAGCTAGGACCAGATTTCACAGCTCTATTATAGTTCCATTGGTAGAGAATAAGCTTATTAAGCCATTGATGTAGGAAATTGATGTGGTTCAATAGTCTCAGTTGAAAACAGATGAGTGGAATGAAGGAACAGTGAGTTGTATCATCATCAAAAGCTTTCCTCAAGCATCTATTTTGGAAGGGCATAAGAGAAGCAGTTAGGAAGTAATTATCGAGTCTTTATTAATCACATTTGTTTTAGGATGAGAATATTTTAAGTTTCAGTTGAGCCAGTTATATCATTAAGAATCTGTAGTCAACGAATCAACCAGCATTTTTCGTAAGTACCTACTATGTGCCAGGTGCTTGTTAGATGCTAAAAATAAAAATACAAAAATAAAGCAGTCTGCCATCAAGCACCTTGCATTCTGTGGGGGGAGACGACAGGTACATAGATAAGTATGTACAAAATACATACAATATAAATGTAACAAGGGATGAAGAGGTATTAGAAGCTTGGCAGGTGGGAAGGAAATTAGGAAAGACTTTGTATAATAAAGGGAGTTTTGAAGGGAGCATTTCAGGGAAAGCAAACTGCCCATTAAAAGGCCCAGGGAGAAGATGAAATGTAATATGTGAGAAACAGCAGGAAGACCAGCCTCAAGGCTCTCCACACTCTAATCTATCCTCCATTTAGCCACAAAAGTGATTTTTCTAAAATGCATGTCATAACCTGCCTCCCCACTCAATAAACTCCACTGGTTCCCTGTTGCCTTCAGGAGCAAATGCAAAATGTTCTGTTTGGTGTTCAAAGTCCTTCATAACCTAGCTTCCCCCTCCCCTTCCACTCTTCTTACACCTCATTCATTCTCTGATACATACTTTTTGATTCAGTGACACTGGCCTCCTAGCTGTTCTAGGAACAAGTAATTCTATCTCTCAAATACATTCAAAGGCATTCTCTCTGGTCCTGACCCCATGCTTGGCATACCCTTCCTCCTCTGACTCTTGACTTCCTGGCTTCCTTTAAGTTCCATCTAAAGTGATGCCTTCTCCAGGAAGCCTTCCCCACCCCTCTCAATTCCAGTGCCTTCCCTCTGTTAATAATTCCCTATTCATCCTGTATGTAGTCGTTCTGTATATAGCTTGCATATTGTCTCCTCCATTAGATTGTAAGCTTCTTGAGGGGTGGGACTGTCTCTTACATCTCTTTGTATCCTCAGCACTTAGCACCGTGCCTGGTATAGTAGGTGCTTGATAAATGTTGACTGATTGGACCATGGGGTGCATAAAAGAGAATAATGTATAATATGGCAAGAAAGATTGGAGACAGGTTATAAAAGACTGTCAGTGACCAACAGAAGAGTTTGTACTTAATTCTAGACACAATAGAATTTGTTGAGCAAAAGAGTAACACTGTCAGATCTGGGCTTTAGGAGGATCACTGTGGCAGCTGTGCAGAGAATGTATTGGGGAGGGAGAGATTTGAGGCAGGGAGAGCAATTAGGAGGCTGTTGTAACATAATCCAAGCCAGAGGTGCTGAGAGCCTAAACTAGGAAGATAGCTGTGTGAATAGAGACAGATTGAGAGATGTGGAGATAAACTTGCCATTATTTGATGACTAATTGGATATGAAGAGCGAGGGAGAGTAGGAGGACGAGGATGACTCTGAGTGGCAAACCTGGGAGATTAGAAGGATGGTGGCTTCCTCAGGGTAGATCAGGAAGTTCAGAAGAAGGGTAAATTTGGGGAAAGATAATTCAGTCTTAGACATTTTGAGTCTGAGATACCTGTGGGACATCTGGTTTGAAATGTCCAGTAGGCAGCTGGTGATGTGAGATAGCTTAAGAGACAAACCAGGTCTAGTTACAAGGACCAGGTTATCAGAGGTGTACAGAAGTTGATTAAACCCATGAGAGCTGATAAGGTCACCAAGTCACAGTTGTATGATGTCAAAGCAAATGTTTTAACAGATTCATCTGCAATATGAGGTGGAACAGTTTACATATTACAGCCACATATGGGAATCATACCTTGCAGACAACATGAAAAATTAGCAGGACAGGTCAGTGTCTATTGTTTGCTTCTTACTGAAAGTTAAACAGTGACCAAAGTAAATGGAATGTTTATATTTCTATAGGTTCTTAGCAGGAAACATGAATACTATTATTGCGGGGGAGGGGGTTGGCAGGGGGAGTGCTACCAGATTGTGTTCTTTGTAAAGAATAACAGCAATATCTAAGCAGAATAGAATCCGAGACCAGATATTAATTTGAATTAGTTGCATTTCATTGAGCTGAGATTTTCTTTAAAAAGTAGATACCGTTTTACCTCCATGTAAATTGGTAAAGATGGAAAAGTAATTACTGGAGGGGTGGCAGGAAGAAAGGCATGCTAATTCACAGTTGATATTAGCTGTGAAGTAGTCTAACAATTGTGGATTTCATTTTGGAATTATATCGAAAAAAAAGATGACTAAATGTCCATGCCCTTTCACCCAGAATTCCACTGCTGGGTATATACCTCAAAGAGGTCAAATATAAACTCGAGTTCAATACATATCAAAATATCCATCACTCTTTGTGATAGTAAGTAACTGGAAACAAAGTGGCTGCCCATCTACTGGGGAATGGCTGAAAAAGAATTATGACATATAAACATATCAAATATTTTTGTCGAGCAAGAAATGACAATTGTCAGGAATTCACAGAACTGAGGAAAGATTTATACAAACTGATGTGGCATGAAATAAGCAAAGCCAAGAGAACAATTTACACAGAGGTTACAACTATGTAAATTAATAGATCGCTAAAAATAAGTTGATCCCTGAGTAATGAAAAAACAAATGAAGATCCCAAAGCAAGGATAATAAAACATATCTTCTTCTCATGGCAATGAGATCAGACTGCTAGGACAAAATATTACATACATTGTCAGATAAGATCTCTTTATTAGATGTTGTTGCCTAATCAGTTTTTGGTTTGGGTTTTTTGGTTTGGGTCATAAGAAGGCTTTAGTCTGGGTAGAATAATGACTATGATACAAAACCAAAAAAGGTAGCAATAAAACATTTAAAAAGTTAAATATGAGAAAAGCTATTATTTCTTCTCCCTAAAGGTTCATGTTAAATAATTCCCTTCTTAGGAGCAAGTTTCTAGGCTGCTTTCTTCTTCAATTAAGAAAAATGTGGGCAACAAGTTGTGTGGCAATATTTCCTTTTGTTGAAGATTACACAGCCCATTAGCCTTTGGCTTAACTATATATTATTTCTGCCAACATTAAAATGTAAAAATAACATAGAAGATCACCATTGGATTAATATAAACTTCAGCCAAGAAAAGCTAGACTTTCTGTGAATTTCTACCAAGACTAGATGATGCAAAGCCAGATGAAGGATGCATCTGAGTCTAGAGGAACCTTTGATTTCAGGCTGTCCAAGTGTAAGCTGAATGATGGCAAACCTAATGTTATTGTTTGGAAGGAGAGTGAATTTTCTGCATTGTTAAAAAGAGGTTAGAAAAGAATCAAATTCTCACTGAATCAAATACACTGGAACCTCACCATTAACACTACTTGTTAATTCCCAAGGGAGTAGAATTTGCCCAGACTGATCAATGTTGAGCTCCCTTGTCAAAGGGCTTGCTTGTTTTTTTCCTTCATAGTATGGTCATTTCATTTACAAGGTAGTTCCCCCTCATTAACCCTCTGTAAGACATATTAGGGGCAGTTAGGTGGCACAATGGATGGAGTGTGGGACCTGAAGTCTGGAAGATTCATCTTCGTGAGTTCAAATCTGGTCTCAGACTCTTACTAGCTGTGTGACCCTAGCCAAATCACTTAACCCTTTTTGCTTCAGTTTCCTCATCTGTAAAATGAGCTGGAGAAGGAAATGGCAAACAATTCTAGGGTCTTTGCCAAGAAAACCCCAAATGGGGTCACTATGAATTGGACACAACTGAAACAACCAAACAACAACAACAATGGGGTCATGTGATAGAGCATAAGTAATGTATTTGTACATCAGTAATTAACTGAATTCAAGTGGACGTGGTACAAGTAGAAAATGTATCAATCAATTTTGCTGTCGTTATTCTAAGCAGTTTCATTCTAAGAGCTGGCAGCTGTGACATATATTTTAAATATGAATGGGATTTTTGGCACGATAATAATACTAGTAATTATTCCTTACTCATATTGGAATAATGTGACTTTTTTTTAATCTAGATGTTGCAACCAAAACAACGCCAAGTGGCTGAGGCTGAAAAAGTACTCTAGCTTGGTCGAGAAAAGCTGGCAGAAAAACAAAAGGGCTTAGAATTGGTGAGACACATCTGTGTTTATTTTGTTATTCTTTCCTTAACTTTCAATAACTGTACTATCCAGGCAAAAATATCAGGAAGAAAAAGTAAATATTTTTTAGTTCACCATTTCATCATACATCCCTAACAAGAATCACAGTGACATCAAATCATACTATATCATACAATCGTAATTTGAAGAGGTTTTAGATCATTTAGTATTTACAATCTAGTATAGGAGAGAAGGTATATATGCAAATAAATATTAATTTAACATGGGCTCAACATCACAAGACTTTTTCTCTTGTTATATATTAATGAATTATTTTCAGGCATTTATTCTCGTTAATGTGAATAATGAGAAGCAACATAGGAAAGCACAGTAGTTTCCAAATTGGGAACTCTGTGCAGTCAACCAATTTACTGGTAAAGATGGATCCCCCATGACTGTAGTCACACGGCTTGTCTCCAGCAGAACTCCACCACACTATTCATCTATTAACCTCTAACACTACAAGAAAAATTGATCACTACAATATGACTTCTACTTTGGTCTTAGAATCCATCTTTCCATAAAGATTGCCATTATTTAAAATGGAATGAATTATGAGGCAGCCTTATGAAGTAAAAAGAGCTTTAGATTTTAAATCAATGGATCGGTGGGCAAGGTTTTATATCTCAGCTTTGCCTGTTGACTACCATGCGTGAATTTGGACAAATGACTTAAACTCTCTGAACTTCAGTTTCCTCACTGATAAAATCATGGGGTTAGACTGAATTACTTCCCAGGTCCCTTCCATCCCTAAGTTCACGATCCTAGGAGAGGGGTAAAGTTGGAATTGTTAAGCAAAGTGAGAACCAAATGTTTTCATCTTTCATTTCCATTGGTTTTCAGATCGAAGATCATCTGCGATCTTTACAACTTGCCTACAATGACAGTGTTGCTGAAAAAGAATTCTTAGCAGATCGGAGACAGCTGACAACTAAACGCTTACATAGCGCCTCCATTTTACTAGCAGCTCTGGAAGATGAGGGGGTATTACTATTTTTTTCAGAATTAGCACAGTCATCAAGTTTATTATTTTATTATGGTTTGTTTAATGGATATCAGATCCTTTCTCTGAAGAACTCAAGGGGTTGCCTTCCTCTTCTAGGGGAAAATTGACCTCATCTGACTCCCACATTCAATTTCTTATGATATTCACTAACCAGTCCCAGTAAGACTAAATTTAGAAAATTTGTGGCCTGTATAACTATTCCTGATCAAACTGTATATTAAAAAAGAAATTAATTAAATCATTTAATTCATGCTTTTAATGGTTAGGGCCATTCATATCCGATTAAGTACAAAATCTAGGCTCTGAACAGCACTTCAGTCCACTCTGTCCAAATGCAAATCCAAAATAAAATGATAGAAAAAAGGGCATCCACAAAATCACAGAATGTCAGAGTTAGAGGGGGTCTCAGAAAGCACCAAATCTAATCTGTATCTGAGCAGGCATCCCCTCTACCACATCCCTGATAATTAACTAATTGCCTAGTTTTTGCATAAAGATTATATATTGTGTGTATATATACACACACACACACACACACACACACACACACATATATATATACACACATGCACACACACACATATGTATATATATATACACATACATATATGTGTTATATGTATGTCTATAGATGGATGGATGGATGGATGGATGGATGGATGGATGGATGGATGGATGTACATTTAAAGGACAGCTAGTGGGACAGTGGATAGAATGCCAGGCCTGAAGTCAGGAAGACTTCTTCCTAAGTTCAAATCTGGCCTCAGACATTTACTAGCTGTGACCCTGGGTAAGTCACTTAACCTTTTTTGCCTCAGTTTCCTCATCTGTAAAATGAGCTGGAGAAGGAAATGGCAAACCACTTAAGTATCTTTCCCAAGAAAACCTCAAATAAGGTCATGAAGTCAGACACACTGAAAATGACTGAACAACAATAACAACAACAATAACAAATTTACATTTATTTATACACATGTTTATGTATATGTGTATACATGAGTATGGGGTGTGGCATGTATGTATATATCTAGGTAATGCGGTGGATTGAGTTCTAGGCCTGAAGAGTTCAAATTCAGCCTCACATACTCACTAGCTGTGTGGCTTTGGGCACGTAGCCTCTGTTTGCCTCAGTTTCCCTATCTATAAAATGAGGATAAAAATCTATCTCCCACAATTATCACGAGGATCAAATAAGATAATATCTGTAAAGGGCTTTGCACCATACTTGATACAGAGTAAGTGTTATATAAATGTTAACTATTTATTATTATTATTATTATCATTATTATTTTATATAGAGAACCTTATTTATACCAAATTAAATTTCATTAGATTAAGCTAATCAGTAAATAGAGTTCAGTCTTTTAAAATCCTAATTCTGTTGTCCAACATGCTAGCTATCTCTCCCAGCTTCATGTCATTTGCCAATTTGATAAACGTGCCATCTGATCACTTTCATCAAATTCATTGATAAAAAAAAAAATGTTAAATAGCTCAGGGCCAAGGATAGATCCCTAAGAATTATCTCCTTCTTTCTCCTCCTCTTCCTGCCTTTCTCTCTCCCTTTTTCTCTCACGTCCTCTCAACCTCTTGTTCCCCACCCCCAACATCCTTTCACTGTCATTGGCCCATTAATAACATCTGTTTGGCTCTGGGCACTGAACCAATTCTAAATCCAACTAACTATACTTAGTCCACATATATACATTTTGTCCACAATGGTAGCATGAGATACTTTGACAAATGCTTTGCTGAAATCTAAATAAACTGTATTAAAAGCATTTTCCCAATGTACCAATCTGATAACCCTATCAAAAAAAGGTAGTTCCTGTACTTGGTCCTGTGCTTAGCCTACCATGACCTGTGATTAGTGAATCCATAGTGGCTCTTAGTAATCACTGCTTCCTTCTCTAAATATTCATAAACTATCCTTTTAATAATATATTCAATAATTTTGCAAGGAATTGAAGTCAGGCTTAACATTTTATACTTTGCAGACTATATTCTCTTCCCTTTTTTGAAAAGTAGGATGTTTGTTTGTCCTTATGTAGACCTGAATTATCCTTTCTGTCCTCCATGTCCTTCAAAGATCATCTCTGGGCCCCAGTACCTCTCCCTGCCTTTTCTTCAGCTTAGTTGGCAGAGTAGGTAGATGCAGAGGCTTAGGCCTTTCACAAGTATCCCACGATGAGGCTCTGGATCTAGTCTAGTTGCCTTTTTAACTGAGAGTAAAAGATATCAGGTTTTTGTTTGGAAAAAAAAAAAGGCCATTGACAGTTGACCCCTGCATGTAGTTCAACTGGCCTTGATGACTTGAACTCATTAAGGTTCACTAGGTGTTCACTGATTTTCTCCTTATTTATATTGGATTTTAAGTCCCTAATAAGCTTTTTTGTTCTAACCATCCCAGTACAAAGATCATTTTTCATGGCAAAGAAACAAAGGCAAAATAAGAGCTGACTACTTCTGTCTTCTCTCCATTTTCCTTTGTCATTTTCCCATCCACCCCAAACAGTCTTGTTCCTTCTCTAATCCTCCTCTTGCCCACAACATGGCTGAAAATGTCAATATCTGTTCATTTTGAGTTTTAATGGTGTCATTCTGACACTATTATGAGCAGGATCATCCTTCTCTTTTATATCACTGCTCCTTTTCTTGCCCTTCCTTTCATTATATGTGTGTGTATATTTTTCTTAATTTGGAATGGTTAATGGGTTTCCTTTGTATACACCTCAATCTTTTTAAACATATTTATCATTACTTTGAAATTGTATCAGCTTTCCATAAAATCTATGGTCCACATCAGGCTGTCTAGTTTTTCTCTCCGTTTCTAACATGAATTTTAAGATGAAGTTTTATTTTCCTTCGAGGTTCCCATTATTTCTAGAATAGCAGGTTTCCTTGTCATAAAATAATAATAATAATAATAATAATAGTAATAATAGTAATGTAACAACTCAGGGAGTTGGAAATCACTGCTCTAGAGAGCTAGGTATGCCTTGGTAGTAAGCTAAGTAAACTGAGTAAACTAAGACATATATAAGTAAAATGACTAGTTAGCAATGGAGCCATGATAAGAACTTTACCTTTTACTTTTTCAGCATGGTCGCATAATGGAACTGATAGAATTTGAAAATAACTTTCTCATTTTTAAAAATGCACAATAGTAGCTTTTCAATTATGAATTGCTATTCTTTTTTTTTTTTTTACTTTCCTTTGGGCATTAAGAGTCGATGGGAAGAAACAGTGAACTCACTAGACCAACGATTGGAAGGAATTGTGGGTGATATACTTATTTCAGCAGCATGCATCGTCTACTTTGGAGTGTTCCCAACTGAGTACCACCAATTAATTGTAAATGAATGGGAAAAGATCTGTACTGAAAATAATATTTCTAAATCTGCCAACTTCTCCTTAATTGATGTCATGGGAAACCAGCACGAGGTATTTCTATTTTACAGTTGAATAAGCAATACCCTTTTTTGGCATATTTCCTGGAATGATGATATGGCTGGGTTCTGGGTTCTCCAGAAGTCAAATTGGGGACATTTGGTGGAAATTTGAGTTTTAATGTCACAATCACAACTTCTGTCCAGACTTTGTCTCTTATTGGCACCATTTTCTTTCTACCATCCACCAATCACCCTATCCGAGTGGTCTGAGAGACATTTGTTTTCTACTTTCTATGAACTTTTTCAGTTTTGTCTGAGTATTGACTAAAATTTTCATATTTTATTCAGTTGCAGGGACTATTTTAGGCATGGAATTAAATACACGCCTCTTATATTCAGTAGTTCAATTAGTAAATCTGAATTTGTTGAGCATCTGTCATGTACCTAGCAATGTGAGGTTTTTTTTATGTAACTCATTTTCTTGTTTCGGAATAATTCCAAATTTATTTGACAGACTACTGGCTAATCACCCAGCCAAAATGGATATCCAAATCACAAACTCCATTCCCTATCAGGCACTGATTACTATCATTTTTCTGGAGTTAAAAGATCAACTCTGATTTCATAGAAATCATAGAAATTTGGAGCTTGATCTGCCTGCCAGCCCAGAGCCCTTCCTGCTCTGTAACGCCTTCTTAATTTTCCACCATCTAACTGTGTCCTGACCGTGACATAGCTAGCTAAAGCTAGGTTCAGGTGCACACATTTGGTTAGATTTCATCAATCAATGGTCTTTACCATATGTCCTTGATAATACTGACTGATACAAAATGTGATTCATATGTTCCCTCTACTAGAGGGCAAGTGTCTCAAGTGCCTCATTATGGCAATGTTGTGACCCTGGCTTATCAAAGGCTATACCAGTGGAGTACAAACTCTGCCACTACCACCTAGCAAGGCTTCAAGTATTGATGTCTGATCCATCAATTAATCAATCGAGGATGAGCATGATGATGGACTCTAAGTCTGTTATGTAGGGACCAGCCAAATCCACCTAAGTAGGGACTAACTAAATCCAGAGAGGCTCCTCACCAGAGTAGTGACTACTGGCTGATGGATTTTATTTGGCCATTCATTAAACTCTTGGTTCAAGCATGGAGGAGATTGTGGTCTGCATTGTGAAGCAACTGTGCATAACAATGAAATCACAGATCCTTGAAATACTAAAGGAAGCGGGGAGTTACAAAAAGGAAGCCATTTCTAGATATATTGACTTCAAAGGTTTTTTCAAATAGAAAACTTCCCTGATACATTTTTTTTCTTTTTTTTTAGGCAATTGGGGTTAAGTGACTTGCTCAGGGTCACACAGCTAGTAAGTGTCAAGTGTTCAGTCTGAGACCAGATTTGAACTCAGGTCCTCCTGACTTCAGGGCCGGTGCTCTATCCACTGTGACACCTAGCTGCCCCTCCTGATACATTTTAAAACAATTTGATAAACAAAAATTTGGTCTGCATACAACTTTTTAAAAATACTTATTTTGGAAGCAAATCAAACCTCTATATGAAGAATTCTAAAAATTTTGAAAAAAAAGCTTATAATGTATTGAAAATGCTAATGTTTTCATTCTAGATGCGCCAGTGGCATAATCAAGGTTTGCCCCTTGGTCAGTATTCAACAGAAAATGCCATCTTGGTTAAGAATGGACTGATGTGGCCTCTGCTAATTGATCCACATAAACAAGCCTACAACTGGCTAAGTCAGATGGAAGGTGGCCGACTGCAGGAGCTTGATACTAGTGAAACTAATTATGTTACAGTAATTGAAAATGCTATGAAAACTGGAGGATGTGTTCTTTTAAAGGTATTTGGACAACAATGCCTCACCTGTTACTGGTCACAGAGATCTCACGGGTGTTTGAATAAGATGATAGGAGGTGTAACTTTGACAGGGAGGAAAATACACATTAGAAAACAAAGGGGAGTTTAACCGAGTTTGTTGCATTTGAAGTGTTAATTTCCTCAGAATAGCTTATAAATCGAGACTGTTTGGTATCAGTCCATTCCAATTGCTTTCCTGAGCCAACTTGTCAAAACACATGACAAGCTAGGAAAATTAAAAAGCAAATTTTCAAAAAACGTAATGTTCTTTTGACATATTTGCTCCTTGTGATAGCAATTTTACAAGTTACTTCTGCTTGGGTTTTTCCAGAATCTTCCTGAAACATTAGATCCAAGTTTAAAATCGATCTTAAAAAAGGACATCTATCAGAAAAGAGGACAACCTTTTGTCAAGATTGACGAAAACGAGATTGAATACAACAACAACTTTAGGTACTATGCCTCATATTTTGCTTAAACAAAATATCACTCAATTGTTAGAGAAAAGTTCAGTGATTAAACTCATGCCCATATGTTTCAGCTTTATACGGAAGCATCCACTTCTGGGGAAATAAGAGTTTTCCTTTTGAATGCTTTTTATCTTCATTGCCAACAACCATCAGTCAGTGCTGAGACCAGCATTCTATACCTTTATAACAAGATACCTGTAAATAGAGCAATCTCTAAAGGAATTATTTTAAAAATCAGTTGTTTTAACTATATAAAAAGTCTACCTCATATTCATGTTATTCCAATCTCCTAACATCCAGCTATAGTAACAGTTCTTTAAGGTTTGTAAAGTGCTTTCCTCAAAATAATCCTTGACTGAGGGAAGGAGGGAAGGAATATCAGTATTGTGATCCCTGTTTCACAGATGAAGAAACTGACAGGATAAATAGTTTGTCGATCATCAGCCATGTAGCCAATAAGTATCTGAGGTAGAATTCAAACTCAGGTCTCAACTGGACTTCCTTCATTAGTTCCATCAAGTCACACAGCTTCTCATCCATAATCTCATCAATGACTGTATTTTGCAACACAATTTACAAGAAAAAAATTGTGTTCTTCAGTAGAGTATTTAATTTAATAATGGTCCATCAAAATGTTTTTGACATGTCTATTATTATGTCAAGACTAACGACAGTCTATACAAATAAATGAAATCATTTCAGACTAATTTTACTTTGGGACAGCCAGGTGGCTCCATGGATAGAGCACCAGGCTGGAGTTAGGAAGACTCATCTTCATGAGTTGAAATCTGGCCTCAGACACTTACTAGCTATGTGACCCTGGGCAAGTCACTTAACCCTGTTTGCCTCAGTTTCCTCATCTGTAAAATGACCTGGAGAAAGAAATGGCAAAATACTCCAGTACTTTTGCTGAGAAAACCTCCAAAGGGGTCACAATCTCGGAGCACATGAAAATATTGTGAAACTCCCACATTGCATTGTGACTATTTCATTTCATAATAAAGATATAGATATCCTTAACATCAGTATTCAAAGTCAGGCCAAAAGTGAGGTGATTCTCCACAGCACTTCTGGGTCAAGTTATAAATTACTTTGGATTCATCCAAAGAAAGAACTGTAGAATTTGAATGCAGATTGAAGCATACTATTTGCTATGTTTTTTCTTCTGTTTTGTTTTCTCTTTCTTGTGGTTCCTCCTATTGGTTCTAATTCTTACTTACAACATCACTAATGTGAAAATATGTTTAATAGGAATGTATATGTATAGCTTATATCAGTTTGCACATCATCTTGGGGAGAGAGGTGGGGAGGGAGGGGGAGAAAAATTTAAAACTCTAAAGCTTATGAAGTGATTGTTGATAAATCAAAATAAATTAATTAAAAATAAATAAATTACTTTGGATTGCCAAAATAAAAGGCAGGGAAGCTATTCCAACAAGTTGGACATACTCTCAGGGGACTGAGAAGCACAAAAGTTCATTTTGTTCAAGGTGTGAAAGATGCTAATTATAGAGAAATACCATCCAGCCACACATGCTCAGGTTGTGGGCAGCCTAAACATTCTATTGAGTAAATTTTTAATGTATACTAAACCCATATCTAGCATCTAATCCAATGTGTGGCTACCTATACATACATACTCTAACACTCACACACACAAACACAGTGGATGAACAGTTTTGAGTTCCGTGATCAGTCTAAAATAGCAGATTTGTTCAATCATTTATTAATTCAACTATTTATGTTGTGAAATTATTCTATCTACAAGACAAATTGAAACTAATGCTGAATTTTTTTCTAGTTACTTGAAGAAAAAAAAATGTTATTACTTCTCTCTATATTCAGCATACAACTGAAATGCCCTTTATGTATTCCAGGTTATATGTAACAACAGAACTAGGCAACCCACACTTTCTTCCATCAGTTTATAATTACGTTACCATGATCAACTTCATGGTGACATTCCAAGGTTTGCAGGACCAGCTCTTATCCACCGTCGTGGTTCATGAAGTCCCTCATCTAGAGGACCAATGGTACCAGTTGCTAGAGAACATTTCTGCTGACCTTTTAACCCTCTGGGAACTGGAGGAAAAATCATTGATTTTATTGCAGAAATCACAAGGTAGGACCAGAAATTTTCTGGAATTAAGAGGGCCTAACATTTAGAGACAAGATGGAAAGAAGAAAAAAAAAAGTCTGGAGGTATCACCTTCTGTATTTTTGGCAAAAGGTGTTAGATTTAGTTTTATAAAGTAGCTAAGCTAATTAGAGTATGTAAAGTCAGCCCTTTATTGTGACCATTGCCCTAAGTTTTGTTGTTTCTCAGTTTCCCCAATAGCTTTGAAGCCCCTCTTTGAGGCAAGCCATGAACAGCTAGGAGGCTCAGTGGATAGAGCTCCAGGCCTGGAGTCTGGAAGACCTGAGTTCAAATCCAGCCTCAAAAATTTACTAGCCGTGTGTCCCTAGGCAAGTCAACTAACCTCAGTTTGCCACAGTTTCTTTATTCATAAAATAGAGATAGTGGTAGTATCTACCTACTAGGATTATGATGAGGATAAAATGAGATAAAATTTAGAAAGTGTTTAGCATCTGTAAAGTGCCTCACACATAGTAGATACTATATAAGTAATGGCACCTACCTCCCTTGCTGAGAGGATCTAATGAGATAATAATTGTAAAGTGCTTAGTCTGCAGAGTACCTAGCACATAGTAGGGGCTATTTAATGTTAGCTAACCAAATGTGCACCTGAGGCTAGCTTTAGGTTATTGTCTTCTCCATATCACAGTTAGGACAGATTTAGATGGTGGAAAATTAACAAGGCATGACAGAACAGGAAAGGTTTGGGGTTGACAGGTAGATCAGGCACCAAATTTCTATAATTTCTTTTTTTTTTCCTTTGGCTAGGCAATGGGGTTAAGTGACTTGCCCAGGGTCACACAGCTAGTATGTGTTATTAAATTTCTATAATTTCTGTGAAATCAGAGTTGATCTTTTAACTCCAGAAAATTAATAGTACCTGATAGGGAACTGAGTTTGTGGTTTAGATATCCATTTTGACTGGGTGATTAGCCAGTAGTCTGTCAAGCAAATTTGGAATTATTCCAAAATAAGAAAATGAATCATATTAAAAAATCACATTTCTAGGTACATAACAGATATTCAATAAATTTAGATTTACTGCTTGAACTGCTAAAAATAGTCCCTGCAACTGAATGAAATCTGAAAATTTTAGTCAACGCTCAGACAAAACCAAAAGAGTTCATAGAAAGTAGAAAACAAATGGCTCTCAGATCACCAGGGTAGGGTGATTGGAGGATGATAGAAAGATACCTCCTCTGCCATCCCCAGTTCCCCAGGTGGAGGAGCTGACACCTCAGGAGTCTCCAAAGAGATTCGAATTTCTCAGGAAATTTCATTGTCTTCTGGAATCATGTCCAAATTATTTGATGTTTCAATTCCCAAATTACTAGTACATGGTGAATGTGTCCATAAATTCACCACAGAGAATATCTAGTTGAATACCCCCTCAGAATAGAGAGGATCCCTTTTTTTTTATTGATGACAGCCCATCCAAAATGCCACTGATGTTTCTTCAGTACTTTGTGGGCACTCTGTCCAATGATATACTCCTCAAATTCTCATCCTATATAACGTTTATCCATGTCCTCCCCTAAATTTTCCATGGGGTCCACCTACATGCTAAGAACCTTCCTCTACTTCTTTCAGTGTTATATCAGTGCTATTCATCTCTTATCCCTCTCTCTTGCTGTATGACCTGCCTTCCCCTTTCCATAGATTCATCTCTTTGATGAAATCTTTAATGCCACTTTTTGTATACAAATTCAACATGGATAGCATGCTTTTTATGCCCACCATGGTCTCTCTCCATTACCACTTGGTTTACTTGTAATTTTGTTCTTTGGATACCTTATTCTTCCATGAATCACAGCCATATGAATTCCTGGAAGAAAATTTGTGTTAAGCAGATGGGTTTTTATTTCAAGGACAGACTTGTGATTATTGAAAATACTCTGCAGTTTTCCAAAAGCAATCCATTCTCTTTGTCTTTTATTTGATTCTGGGCCCAGCTTACTGGTCACTTGCAGAGTAATTAATATCCACAATATATTGTATGTACTGATGGACCAGTCCCAGAATTCATTGAGCTAGCTCCACGTGTTCTGAACAATAGACGTTCTCTTCATCTGCTTAGTGCCGTGGGGATTGCAAGCCAAATCCTTTTGAGTGCTTGTGAATTTTATTCAGAAGGCTCTGCAGAGTTCTGAGACTTGATACAACGGGTAGCATCACTCCATAAAAACAATGTGAAGGAAGGGAGTATCAAGATGGCAGAATGAGTGGTAATGTTTGAGCCTAGCTCTCCTACCTTACCCCTAAAGTAGCAATAAAATGTATCAAATGAGTAAAAACAACCAACTAAAAACAAAACCCCTCATAAGGAAAATTGCTTCATAGAGAAAAGAATGATTGAAGAAATGAGTACACAAATCCAAAAAAGCTCTAATACTATGAATAATTAAAAAGATAAAAAGACCCCAAAAACAAAAATGGATCTATCAAAATACCCTTCAGAATGACTAATAATATAAATTTTTTAATAGTATCTTTTTTCAGTGACATGTAAGGACAATTTTCAACATTCATTTTTTTAATAAAATTTTAAGTTCCAAATTTTCTCCCTCCCTCTCTTTCCCCCTTCCCTCCCTAAGATGGGAGCAATTTGATATGTAGATTACATATGTACCGTTATCCCTCCCACATCAAGACTTTCCTCATCATGGTTTCAATATATTATGAGTCAACATGAGAAATTAAATGGGAATTTTGGGGGAGTTTTGCAGAAGCCACAGGTGACATGAAGGCAGCAGACAACACAGAAAATGTTTAGAAACTCAGAAATGCATAAAATATATGCATAGTATTATATAATATCAACCCAAAATTTACAATAAGGTGCTGTAAAAACCCCACAAAAGAAAAAAAAATTCAGACTTCTTCTGTGGTATGAAGGGAGGGCCAAAAAATTTTACGCGGATTTTCCAGAAGCAGGGTGTGGGTGGGGAGGATTGGAGGGGGGGTCTACCCCTAACCCCTGAGATGTAGAAGTGATACCTGCGCAATCATGCATAACCTATTTCCATAATAGTCATGTTGACAAGGTGCAAGGGCACCAAAATGTTGAGGTACAAGAGATGTGTATGTGTGTGTGTGTGGTGTGTGTGTGTGTGTGTGTGTGTTACAGTGTTGTCTCAAAAGAATTCTCTCAGGCTGTCTCCAAATCAAGTAAAGGCATTTTAGGTAACACACCAAGCAGGCTCCTCCTTAAGGGAGGTAGCAGCCCTCAAGGGAGGCAGCTCTTTAAGGGAGATGGCCACTAGCCTGGAGAAGCTTGGGCTTCTTATAGAGGAAATGTGCCCTGTGAGCAGGGAGATTAGGTAACCAGGGATATGCAGGCAAGGAGTGTTAGAGTTGTACACATATCTAGGCACATCATTATTCCAGTGTTCAGCCCATTTGCCCAGGGCAGAGGGTCCTGTTACTTTCAATATTTTATTGCCTAGCCTATTTGAATCTCATTGTCTCATTGACCAGTCTATTTACCTAGCGCATAGAGGCCTCTGCTTTCCTCATCTTTTCCAGAAAGGCTTCAGCTAATCTCATTACCTCCCCCTTCAAGAAATAAATACCCAAATTCATTTGGGGAAAAAAGTGAAGGTCATGCATTCCTCATCAATGTTGTTAATAAGAGAAATTTTAAAATTAAGGAAGATCGGACACTTATGAAGGTAGAATTAAAAATCATTAAAGCAGGGGTTCTTAGCCTGGGGTCCAGGGGCCTCCAAAGGGTTTATGGATAGATTTCAAGCAGTCTGTGAACTTGAATGGGGAAAAAAAAACCCACATCTTCATTTCAATATAGTTGGTTTCCTATGTATTTCATTTTTCACATTTGAAAACTGTTGTGGAAGCAATATAACATATCTAGGGATAGGGATTTTATTGATACAGGGAACTCTTGGATGAGAAAACTCCTTTGTCAATGCAGGTCAGATTGCTCTAGAGCAGGAGTGGGGAACCTGCAGCCTTAAGGCCACATGTGACCCTCTAGGCCCTTGGGGGTAGCCTTTTGAATGAGTCCAAGTTTTACTGAACAAATCCTTTCATTAAGTAAGGTCATTTGTTCTGCTAAGTTTGGATTCAGTCAAAGGCATGCACCTGAGGGGCAGCTAGGTGGTGCAGTGGATAGAGCACTGGCCCTGCAGTCAGGAGGACCTGAGTTCAAATTCAACCTCAGACCAAACACTTGACACATACTAGCTGTGTGACCCTGGGCAAGTCATTTAACCCCAATTGCCTTTAAAAAAAAAAAAAGTATGCACCTGAGAACCTAGAGGGCCACAAATGGCCTCAACTGAAGCAAGAACTGAAGTTCCACAGGGGCTGGAAGAGAAAAAAAAGGAATGTGGGAGAGGGAGAGATGGGGGAAAAAAGATGGATTGAAAGGTCAAAGGAAAAGCCCTCAGACAGCAAAATAAGCATTACCGAGCCTAGGAAGAGTGGGAGACTTAAGTATCTTAATTACACACTGAGGCCAACGAGCCAGTGAATGTGCCTCTGAGGCATAGACTGTATTCATACCTTGTTCCTAGCCATTTCCAAAGGAATAGGGAAAGTGAAAATTAATGAGCTCTCCATGGCTGGGGTCTGCAAACTTTTTCTATAAAGGGCAGATAGTAAAGGTACTTAGGTAACAAGAAAGAAAACAAATCTCCACAAAACTTTTATTGACAAAATTTAAAATAGAATAATATTAATTGAGGACAATTTTGTAATGCAAGTCTAATGGGAAAATAGACTTCTTGGGGGGGGGGGTAACATTTCACTTAATTAGGGTTCAAGGTTAGTGTTCCCTATCATCGAAACAGATTGCAGATGTACATCTGTTGATGCCGATCCGTAAGGAGAATTTTACAGGTTTCGTCTTTGAAAATGTCTTTTCACAGATAGGTACTGCCAGATACTGATATCAGTCCATGAGCATATGATTTTAATTGACCGTATTTATTGCTCAGAAAACATTTATAGAGTTTACATTAG